GTGTGCGGGACGCATGCGGGCGGCAGCACTGGGGCCTTCGGTGGGGCTCCCTATGGGGCCACGAAACGTGTGAGGGGTGTGCCGAATTGGGTGTGCGTGACGCATGCGGGCGGCAGCACTGGGGCCTTCTGTTGGGCTCCCTGTGGGGCCACGAAACGTGTGAGGGGTGTGCCGAATTGGGTGTGCATGACGCATGCGGGCGGCAGCACTGGGGCCCTCGGTGGGGCCCCCCATGGGGCCACGAAGCGTGTGAGGGGTGTGCCGAATTGGGTGTGCGTGACGCATGCGGGCGGCAGCACTGGAGCCTTCTGTGCGGCTCCCTTTATGAGGCCACGAAACGTGTGAGGGGTGTGCCGAATTGGGTGTGGGGGACGCATGCGGGCGGCAGCACTGGGGCCTTCGGTGGGGCTCCCTATGGGGCCACGAAACGTGTGAGGGGTGTGCCGACTTGGGTGTGCGTGACGCATGCGGGCGGCAGCACTGGGGCCTTCTGTTGGGCTCCCTATGGGGCCACGAAACGTGTGAGGGGTGTGCGAGTTGGGTGTGGGGGACGCATGCGGGCGGCAGCACTGGGGCATGGGGCCACGAAACGTGTGAGGGGTGTGCCGAATTGGGTGTGCGGGACGCATGCGGGCGGCAGCACTGGGCCTTCGGTGGGGCTCCCTATGGGGCCACGAAACGTGTGAGGGGTGTGCCGAATTGGGTGTGCGGGACGCATGCGGGCGGCAGCACTGGGGCCTTCGGTGGGGCTCCCTATGGGGCCACGAAAACGTGTGAGGGGTGTGCCGAGTTGGGTGTGGGGGACGCATGCGGGCGGCAGCACTGGGGCCTTCGGTGGGGCTCCCTATGGGGCCACGAAACGTGTGAGGGGTGTGCCGAATTGGGTGTGCGGGACGCATGCGGGCGGCAGCACTAGGGCCTTCGGTGGGGCTCCCTATGGGGCCACGAAACGTGTGAGGGGTGTGCCGAAATGGAGGAGGGTGGAGGAGGGGGCAGAGGAGGAGGGAGGGGACGCTGGGCACCGTCTCTTCAAAACGAGGGCCCAACACCACAGGATGGTTGGGAAAAAATTGAACATGTCTATATATGTACATTTTCATTATATATATATATATATATATATATATATATATTTGTATATATATATAGATATATAGCTATAGCTATATATATATATATATATATATATATATATGTGTGTGTTGCAACAAATTGCAAATGTCCTGTCCTCGCGCTCCTGCTAAAATCGTTTATATGTATATATAATACATATATATATATATATATATATAATACAAACAAATGATTCTTCTGAATTCTGCCAAATCCAGCGATTTCATGTCACCGCGCGGTGCACCCGCGATACTCCAGCCATGCGCCGAGTGCGCGACCCCCTTGGAAAAATACCACGCTGGCCACGTGCGCGCACCGCCGCGCGCGCATGATCAGTCTGACGGATTAGTTGAACTTCCGCGCGCGTGGATTTCCTTTCCCCATTTGTCAGCATCACCGCGATCACCTGCCTCATCGACAGATGGACATCAGCATCGTCAACGTGTTTGCCATCATTGGCGCCGTTACCGTTCGTGCCGTCGCCCTCTTGAACATCGTCGTCGTTGGTGACATCTTCGTCATTGTCGCAGACGACGTCCGAGTATCGTCGATCTGTGCACCTTCATCATCGACTCACGGTGACGAGCATCGGCAGTGAGGATGTTTTCATCGATGTCGTCATCGGTGGCGCCGCCGTCCCCCGCATCATGACTTTTGCCAAACAAGTTGTGGGTGGGAGGGTGGGATGTGTGCGCGAGCAGTGGGGACGACGACTTCAAGTTCAGCAGAGTGGATTGCGCCACATAGGTTTTACCGCATATGTTGGAACACATATAATGCATCACATCGGTGGCACCACGCAGATCACACCACATAGAATACACCGCATGGTTCGCACACGTAGATTGCAACACAGATGTTGCACAGCATACGCTGCGCCACACAAGTTGCACGACCAAAAAATCCGTCGAATTGCTTGCACCACGCAGGTTGCACCACATAATTTACACCACGTAGCATTGACCACATAGCTTACACGACATAGGTTGCTCAGCATAGAATGGACCACCGAGCGTGTTCTTCTTTGGTTACACCAAATAGGCTGCACCACATAGGTTGCATCACAAAATATGTTAGAACACACTGATTCGGGCCAACGTTGGCCTGCATGTAAGGTTATGTTCACACATTATACAGATGAGCGTGCATCCAAATGAATCCGAAAGGTGCTTGGCGGGTTGGGGGGAGGTGGCGTAGCCTAGGCGCCAATGCGGCCCCGCAGCGGCCTCGAGGAGGTTCCCAAACGTCCACGAGTAGTACCAAGAATCACCCACGCGGCTCCACAGCGGCCCTAGAGACCCCCGAAATCGTGTTCATTCCCCCCGGAACAGCCAAAGACGGTTCCTACATTCACCTTTGGCGCCCGAGAAGCTTCCAAAACGTTTCCAGAAAGCTTCAAGGGGACCCCCAAGAGGGCTTTATCAAGCAAAACCGCCATGGTCCCCAGGAAAAATTAGCGTCCAAGACAGGCCCAGGGGCCTCCAAGGTCGCCCCCAGAAGGCCCCAAGATGGCTCCAGACGGCCCCAGAACGGCCCACGAGGCGCCCAAGACGGCCCAAAAGAGCCCGAACTGGGACCAAAAGGGGCCCAAGACAGCGCAAGATGGCCCCAAGGCGGCCCAAGATGGCCCAAGACGGCCCCAAGACGTCCAAGAGGCGCCCTACACGGCCCAAGAGGGTCCCGAAAGGTCCCCGCGAGGCCCAAAAGAGCACACTGGAGGCCCCCAAACGGTCACCTAGAGGTTTCAAAATTGGCGAGAGGGCCCTCGCGGCCGCAAAAGCAATGTTTGACGATCCGGTCGCCCTGGATCTTTTTCTGGACGACGACGACGGCGACCACGACCACGACGACAACGACGACGCCTTGTCGCTCCGCGGTATCGGTGGCGAGTAAGAGAGGCTATGTTTTGCAACATGTGCAGCCGCATCTTAGTTCGGAGCTTCGCGTTTCAGACATTCCACAGCCGATGCCCCGCTGCGATCCTTACTTTGCCGCAATGCCGTTCCGACGCCACCGACGCGGCCCGGGACGGCGCCGCGTTTGCCCCGGCTCGCTCCCGCGATCCGGCGCGAATCTTCCAACGCGGCTCTGGCTTGGACTCTGGGAGTTCGTGCTTTCGTGAAGTTCGAACACCTCGACCCCCGCCCCCGCATCAGTGCATTTGGCGCTTTTACTCGGGGACCATTAGACAAGGCTTCAAAAGAGCCACGGAAGTAGCTCACAACTTCGCACAATCCAGCGCACGACACAAAACCTCGGCCAGCTCAACTCCGCAGGCTAATCCACGGGCCCGAACACGTTCACGTATACACACATGACTGCATTGGCGTTCTGCGCCGTGCACCATGGCCCTTGAAGTTCGGCGCGCCGGTGGAAAGGCAAAAATGTAAAACAGGCAATGTAGCAGCAACTCCTTGTTGTCTTTTGTTTCTGGCATCGTCGACATGGAAATCTTATTCTGCCTCATTCTCGCCGTACCCTGCGAATTTCACCCCATCCCCCTCCGCTCTTTTTGCGCAAATTCCGCCTTGGAGAGCTTCTAGTGAGGGTCACCAAAGTTGTAAGAATTTCTCGGGGCGTTATGGAGGCCTGGGCGCTTCAGGGAGCTTCCTCCGGCCATCCTGCTTCCAACCGCAGACTCCTGAACGGCGGGGTCACGATTTGGAGTGCTTAGGGGGGCGTCTTGGGACATCTTGGGCCGTCATGGGGCCCCCATTCAGGCCATTTTGAGGCCCCATTGGGCAGCTTCCAGGTTTTGCTTTGTGGGTGTTTGGGACCTTTTGGAGCTTTCGCGGGGCCGTTCGGCCACTTTTCGACCGATTTGGACCATCTGCCAAGCCAAGCGGGGGTGTCCAGGAGCCCCTGAAAGCCCGCGGGACCGGCTGCACGGGCGTCCAGAGGGCCCCCAGGGCCACGGATACGGGGTGGGGGGTCCCGTTTGGGTGGGGGTCCAACCCTTGTGGGTTGAAAAAAGTAGGCACGGAATACATGTGTATACATATATGTATACACACATACATATATATCCCTGCGGGTGCACTTGCACCTGGTGCAAGATGTATGATATGTGTAGTATGTGTACGTATATGTTTGTTTGTACGTGTCAGTTTGTGTATGTGTATACATATGTGTATATGTATATGTGTATGTATGTGTGTATGTGTACATATGTGTAAGCGCGTCATGTGGAGATATGTACGACCTGTGTATGTGTACATCTGTGTAAGCGTGTGTGCATGTATGTGCACATCTGTGTACGTATGTGTGTGTGCGCATCTGTATGTATGATATATGTGTGTATGTACATATATGTGACAGAAGTGTACGTCCTCCCTCCACCTCCTCCTCCCTACGACTAATACTACATACTAATACGTACTACTACGTACTACTACGTACTACTACGTACCACTACGTACTACTACGTACTACTACGTACTACGACGTACTACTGGTATTATTACTACTACTACTACTACTACTACTACTACTACTACTACTACTACTACTACTACTACTACGTACTACTACGTACTACTCCGTACTACTAAGTACTATTACGTACTACTACTACGTACTACTACGTACTACTACGTACTACTACGTACTACTACGTACTACTACGTATTACTACGTACTACTACGTACTACTACGTACTACTACGTATTTCTTCGTACTACTACGCACTATTACGTACAACTACGTACTGCTACGCATTGCTACGTACTATTACGTACTACTACGTGCTATTACGTACTACTACGTACTGTTATTGCAAACACGTGCGTCCTCGTATTTCTCTTCCTCCTCCTCATCCTCCTCCGCCTCCTCATCCCCTGTCGGCGCCAGAGCGCTTTGCTCTTTTTGCTCGCAAGGCCTAGGTGCCCTAAGCCTCACGCCCCCAGTACGCGGCCAAGCGCGCCTGCCTGTCCGCTTTCAAAGGATGATGGCATCGAAACCACCACTGGTAGACGTAGCTCCAGAGCTCCACGTTCAGGTTGCCCTCGCCGTCACTCCCCCAGATTCCCTTCGGAATCCACTCCTTGATGCGAGACCACCGCTCATCGATCAGACCTGTGTTCACATCGAGTGTGCCATACCCGCGCACACGCGCCCTCTCATTCCATACCCCCTTGGAATGCACACAGAATCGATGGCGTAGGCCATGCTCACGAGCCAGGCGGGCGTACAAACGAGCACCGTCAGAGACCAGCACCGACTTGTTCGCGACGTGGTCAAGGCCGCCCGACGCCAAGACGTCCTCGCGGCACTCTACCTGGGAGGAGGAAATCACTACAGGTCAGCTCCCTTGGCCCTCCACCCTCCCTGCCTTCATCGTCCCGTCTCCTCCTCCTCCTCCTCCTCCTCCTTCTTCTTTTCCTCCTCCTCCTCCTCGTCCTCCTCGTCGTCGTCCTCCTCCTCCTCCTCCTCCTCCTCCTCCTCCTCCCTCCTCTGTCCCACCCCCTCCCTCCCCTCTCCCCCATCTCTCCTTCCGACGAAGGCAGGGGGGTGGAGGGTCAAGAGAGCTGGCCTGAACTGTTTTACTCCTCACACTACCGGGCACACGGCATTGGGCGCAACCTTTTTGACGGGCACGAAGTACACCACCGCTCGCGGAACGGCTGACCCGCGGGGCCGCTCGGCCAAACCCCACAGTGCCACGTGGCAGTTCTTCCCCTCGTGCTTGAAGAGTTTCAGCCCAGTGCCGTCGCCCTCGACGACGCCCTTGAGCGTCATGGCCTGCATCTCCTCGTAGCCGAGGTTCGCCTCCTGCCAGCGGAGCCAGCGGAAGAGCTGCATGACGGACCGAGAGCGAGACATGCCGACATCCTTGCAGAGCTGCTGCAGCTCGGGCCTGGTGGCTGCATGGTACTTCTCTACAAACTCCACGAGCGCAGGCAGTGGGAACGGGTACTTGACCTGGGGGAGAACGCAGAATTTGATGACACTGTAGATGTCACCGCATCTGCTGCCCCGAAAGAAGACCGAGGTGAGCTTTCTCTTCTTGACCGCCAGCGTGGCCTGGAGCGCCTTCTTCCGCTTGGTCTGCGGGCCGTTCCCTGTCTGGCCGTGTCCGTCGAGCTTGGTGCAGGTACAGCCTGCAGGGCACCGAGGGCAAGGGTAGCTGCTGCAGTTACCACGCGCACCCGCCTTGGCCAAGCGCCACTTGACGAGAGCCTTCCACGCTTTGGCCATGCTCTTCTTTTCTGCCAAGGCCAGCTTTGCCTCGTCCTTGGTGCTCCTGGTCAAGCAGCGGCGCCTCTCGTTCGCCGCCTTCTTGCGCCCCTTCGCTGCCTTCCTGGCCGTGGAGACCTTCACAGGCGCGCCGTGCCCGATGGGAGATACCCCTGTGTCTAGTTGGTCGAGCCTCGTCCGTCCGCGGCGACGCAGGCAAATTGGTGTTCCTCCTTTTTCTGCTTCTTCCCCCTCCCGTCCTCCTCCTCCTCCTCCTCCTCCTCCTCCTCCTCCTCCTCCGTCTCCTCCTCCGCCTCCTCCTCCTCCTCGTCTCTTCCTCCACGTGTATCTCCCAGGGGGGCGGCATGCCCGCGTGGACCCTGCGGCTGCCCTTGTGCGCCACCCTGCGCTGCAGCTTGTGGGCCTTGCGGTGGATGAACTTCGTTTGTATCCCCGTCACCTTGAGGCCCAACCCGCCTGCCCTGAGCGCGTCCACCACGGCGCTGGGGGAGGGGGCTTTCTGCACGCTGCGGAGGAGCTGCTGGGCGAGCTTGGGGCAACTCCTGAGGTTGTGGCCAGCCTTGCCGCAGTGCTGGCACACTCGCTGCTGAGGCTTCGGCATCACTGCAAGCGGCGCCTCTTAGCAGAGTCTGGCTCTGGCTCCGGCTCTGGCTCCTCCACGGGGCCCACGGGGCCCTCTGCCTCTTCGTCGCTGTCGAGCTCCGTGTCTGGCACGAAGCTGCCCTCCTCGCTCTCGCTGGCCTCCTCGTACCCGCAGGGTCCGAGCCCGTTGTTGTCCTCCTCGTCGGACAGCCAGTCCGTCACTGGGTCGTCCTCGTAGTCGAACTCCCAGTTGTGGTCGGGGTCGAACCAGCAAGGGAGGCAACTTACCACGGAAGAGCTGCGTTGCAGCCCCGGGAACGAGTGCCAGCCACAAGGAGACCTGCAGTAGTCACACCTGGGCATGCCAAAATGGCACGCTGGGAAACTCTAGGCCTTGACCCAAAACGGCTATGTGGAGAGAGGGAGGGGGGGAGGGGGAGGGAGGGAGGGAGGGGGGGAGTAGTAGTAGTAGTAGTACGTACTAGTAGTAGGTGTAAATGGTTAGAGGTAGTAGTAGGTAGTATGCAGTCGGGAGTACGTCGTGGGTAGTAGTAGTAGTAGTAGTAGTAGTAGTAGTAGTAGCAGCAGCAGTAGCAGTAGCAGTAAGTAGTAGTAGTAGTAGTAGTAGTAGTAGTAGTAGTAGTAGTAGTAGTCGTAGTAGTAGTAGTCGTAGTAGTAGTAGTAGTAGTAGTAGTAGTAGTAGTAGTAGTAGTAGTAGTAGTAGTAGTAGTAGTAGTAGTAGTAGTAGTATAGTAGTAGTAGAGTAGTAGGTAGTAGTAGTTAGTAGGTTAGTAGTTAGTAGTAGCAGTAGTAGTAGTAGTAGTAAGTAGTAGTAGTAGTAGTAGTAGTAGTAGTAGTAATAGTAGTAGTAGTAGTAGTGTAGTAGTAGTAGTAAGTAAGTAGTAGTAGGTAGTAGGAGTAGGTAGTCGTAGGTAGTAGTATAGTAGTAGTAGTAGTAGTAGTAGTAGTAGTAGGTAGTAGGTAGTAGTAGGTGTAGGTAGTAGTAGTAGTAGTAGTAGTAGTAGTAGTAGGTAGTAGGTAAGTATAGTAGTAGTAGTAGCAGTAGTAGCAGTAGCAGTAGTAGTAGTAGTAGTAGTAGTAGTAGTAGTAGGTAGTAGTAGGTAGTAGTAGGTGGTAGTAGGTAGTAGTAGGTAGTAGTAGGTAGTAGTAGGTAGTAGTAGGTAGTAGTAGGTAGTAGTAGGTAGTAGTAGGTAGTAGTAGGTAGTAGTAGGTAGTAGTAGGTAGTAGGGAGAGGGAGAGGGAAAGAGGGGAGGGGAAGGGAAGGGTCCCGCGAGTTCCCCTCTGAATCCAGGTTGTTCCCAAACAGTGCAATCCGCGTTGCTTATCCTACTCCATGTCATGTGAGGATGTCTCGAACGAGAGGCCCATAGAGGTGCAGGAATCAGTGAATTGCGATGTTCGCATGTATGAAGAAACTGCAAGAACCATGTAGAAAACAGCACCAAAAAGCACAGTGCTTTTTGGTAGCGGTCCCCATGCTAATATGTACATCACCAGGAGCTACAGTCACGGACCCGCCCTCCAGTAGGCCATCCAGCATGTACGACGCACTACCACCTACGACCTTGTCCAACTGCCCAGCCGCAACAATCTAGTAACGAACCACAACGCCTCGGAAACGAGATGATCACTTTGTACCACTGGTGATAGGACGAACACGAACCACGCACTACAACGAACTACAGCTACCACCTAACACAACCTAGTACGAACAATAACCACCGACGACGTACCACCAACCAACAAACATCATCAGTGACGGACAACACACACCTACATCGAACGATGGTGGCGATCAGGACCACCTACGAGAGAACCAGCAGGTGCAAGTGCACCCGTTAGGATATATATATATATGCATATATATATATATAAACATACATACATACATACATACATACATACATACCTACATACATACATACATACATACATACATGCATACTTACATACATACATACATACATACATACATACATACACACATACACACATACATACGTACATACATGCATGCATACATACATGCAGACAGGCAGAGTGACAGAGACAGACAGACAGACAGACAGACAGACAGACAGACAGACAGACAGACAAACATAGATACATGCATGCACGCATGCATGCATGCACGCACATGCATATAGACAGACATACATGCGTACATACATACATACACACATGCATGCATGCATGCATGCATGCATACATACATACATACATGTGTGTATACATATGTGTATATAAAAATTCATTCTGCAGTCGCACGATTGCATATTCGGAATACATGGACTGACCCGCAAAGTCGCCGAGTGCCTCCCCTGCCAGCGAATGAGAAACGAGATCCGTGTAATTGGCCCGTGCTTGTAGCGTACAATACTTGCTGAACAGCACACGTCTGGTTGCCACCAACCGCAGCGGGGGGGATTTTGTACAAAGAACAACCGTTTTGTACAGACGTTATCCCCTCTTGTTTCCACGATTGCTTGCGCCACTGAAGTAGCGAGTTAGAGGACTCGCGAACGTTCGTTTCGTATTCCTCTCTTCTGGCCTCCTCCTTCACCGTTTTGGCTCACACCGGCCCCACCCACCCTGCCCTGAAAAAGGCAGGGCTTCTCTTTGGTGACGGTTGATACTGTATGATATCGTCGTGTTCCGTGTTCGCTTCGTCAGGTCCCAAGTGTGTTTGAAGTGACCTGCTTTTCAGAGGCCGCCATCGGATTGTTGTGTGTCGAGCCTCTTCTTCTAGCGAGAGTGGCTCTTGAAGGCAGCAAGTTGCCAAACGTGGTGTTGATGTGAAAAAGAAATCGGCAAGTGCTCTGGGTTCCCCGTCCTCTCTCGCCTCTCCCTCGCCCATGCTGGTCAGGCCGTCGGGCCAAGGATGTGTACATATCTATGAACGTATACAAATATCTATGTAAGTGTATGTACACAGATACTTATAATTGTGTCTGCATAGATATGAGTATAGTTATGTATGTATGCACGTGCGTGTATACGTATATCGTAGATCCCAGAAGCGCGCTTGGTGTCACCCGCTACAGATTAAGATGACTGCTTGTCCTCATTCCTCGCCATCTTCCATCCCCCTACTCATCGTCCTTGTCCTCCCGAGGACTTCCATCATCTCCCACAACATGCGAAAACATGCGGGGCTCCTGTTCAACAGGTTATCCTCCCTATTTCTCCTCCTTCCGCCTCCCCTCTCCTCATGCCCCTTTTCCTCCCAACAGTGCTCCTCCCCGCCTCCCCCTCACCACCACACACCACCACTATCATCCGCATCATCACCATCATCAAGACCACCGCCATCATCACCATCATCATCAGTAATATTATTATCATCATCATCATCATCATCATCATCATCATCATCATCATCATCATCATCATCGTCATCGTCATCGTCATCGTCATCGTCATCGTCATCATCATCAGCGTCATCAGCATCAGCATCATCATCATCAGCATCATCATCATCACCCTCTCCTCTCGCATGTTCCTTCCCTCTCCACCACTCCTTCCCACTGCCCTCACCCTCCTCCTCCACCCTCCCCCCCCACCCCACCGCGCGCAGAGGCGGGGCAGCCCACCCGGGAGCGCCCCGGCCGCCCCCGGGGCCCCCGCCCGGGCGCGCCGCCCGAGCACAGACCGCGCCGCGGCCGCCCGAGACATCGGGCGCCCCGTAGCTCTAAGAAAGCAGGGGGGGGCGCCCGCGGCGGGGGGAGTGGGAGGCGGACGGCGGTGCCGCTGGCGGCGGCGGCGGCTGGCAGACGGTGGACGGTGGACGGCGACGACGGCGACGACGGCGACGCTGGCGACGGCAGCGGCGACAGAGGCGGCGGAAGGGGACGAGTCTGGCGCCGGCGACGGAACGCGGCGACGGCGGCAGCCGCGGCGGGGACGGCGGCGCTGGCGGCGACGGCTGGCGACCCACCTCCTCACTCCTCCTCCTCCTCCTCCTCCTCCTCCTCCTCCTCCTCCTCCTCCTCCTCTCCTCCTCCTCCTCCTCATCCTCCTCCTCCTCAGCAGCAGCAGCATCATCATCATCATCATCATCAGCATCAGCATCAGCATCAGCATCATCATCATCATCATCATCATCATCATCATGTTCAGCATCATCAACATCATCAGCATCATCAGCATCATCAGCATCATCATCATCAGCATCATCATCATCATCATCATCATCATCATCATCATCATCATCATCATCATCATCATCATCATCATCCTGGGTGCCACAGCTGATACGACCGAGGCGCAGGGCTTCATTTCCATCGGTGCTCAGGGCTTGGTTTCTCAGGTAGTGAAGGCATTGGTATTGGTTTGGCCAAGGCCCCCCGTCGGCAAGGCAGCTGCTCACAGACCTCCACCAGATGACGAAGGCTTTTCCTGCGGACCTGGCGCCGCTGGGTGATCCAGTGTGGCCGCCAGAGCTTTGGGAGCAACTTGTCTGCGCCCAGCATCAGCTCCAGCGCTTTTTGTCACGACAGTCTTGGTGGTGCCATTTCGAGTTGTGTTCTGAGTTTGGCCGCCGCTGGCCTCGGAGGAATTAGCCGCCGCGCTCCCCAGCCGACGCCATTCGGTTCAATGTATGTAGTGTACTGCCCCGATTGCGGGCACGGCAGCAAGGGCTGCCAGGATTTCGCGCCCCACAGGCAACGCGCAGTCAGTCTTGGTCCTCCCCCCATCCTCCTCCTCCTCCTCCTCCTCCTCCTCCTCCTCCTCCTCCTCCTCCTCCTCCGCCTCCTCATCCGCCTCCTCCTCCTCCTCCTACTCCGCCTCCTCCTCCTCCTCCTCCTCCTCCTCCTCCTCCTCCTCCTCCTCCTCCTCCCCCTTCCATCCCTTTCCTCAGGTAACTCCTTGCCTCAGCGTCGCGCGCATTCGTCCGAAAAGCGAACCACAGCTACATGGATAGATCACAGGTGGTTTTCAAATTAGGCTCTCGCCTTAGCGCCGCGCAGATTCGTCTTCACAGTCTGCAACCTTGAACTGAACTGCCATAGCTTTCAATGTGTGTAGCAGCTGCCTGGATGGAGGGCGGTTTATTTTCGAAGCGGGGTGAATGTTCTTGACCATAAGCACAATATTGTGCAACTGTTACTCGGAAGGGAGCGGCTTTCTTCAAACGGGGATCTTGTTGGACACCTCGTTGAATTGCATGGTCATACATTTTAGCACGCTTGGCTACGATCTGGAAGGATGCAAGACACACCCTTTTCAAAACGGGACCGTCGCCTGAGTGACAGGCCCACAAGTGCTGGTCTTTCAAGGGGGTGCCCTTGTGGTACAAAGAATGCCTGTGGGGACTGGCGGAGATGGCACTTGGGCTGGCGGGGTGTAATCCTCGTCGTTTTCCTTTCTCTCTTCCTCCTCATACTTCCTCCTGCCCCTTCAGCTCCTCTCCCCCCCCCCGCGAGCGCGAGCGCGCGCGCGCTCCCGCGAGCAGGAAGGGGCGGGGGAGGAAAAGGAAGAGGAGGAGGAAAACGAGGGGGAAGAGGAGGACAAGGAGGAGGAGGAGGAGGACGACGACGACGAGGAGGAGGAGGGAGGAGGAGGAGGATGAGGAGAAGCAGGAGCAGGAGCAGGAGCAGAAGGAGGAGGAGGAGGAGGAGGACCTCCCCGAGCACCTGCAGCCGGGGGAGTGGTTCGCCAAGCTGCGGCCGCCATGGGGAGGGGGCCCAGAATGCTACCCCGCAATGGCGCCCCCAGTCCTCCGCGGCGGATGTCTTGACGACGGACTTGGCAAGCGAAGCCCGGAGCGACGAACTTGGCGGACCACGGCCGGGAACGTTTGCGTAGCGTGTCGCGCTGCCGGCTCTGGCCCAGCTCGTCATAGTCCCCGAGCATCCGCGTTCCGAGTTTTTCCCAGCCTCCCGTCCCACGAAGCAGAGCGACGCGTCATCAGCTTGCAGAGCCTAGCGGGTCGCAGGTGCCGCCGCCACGACGCGCGAAGGAAAAGCTTTGAACCGTAGGGACAAACGACAATCACATCTGCTTGCGCTCCGCCGCGCAGGAGGCTGCCGGCTCCGCCGTGGCCGCCTCGACGCTTGGAGAATGCGTTGTTCAAGTTTGGTTCGGCTGGTAGCATCGGCATCGGCTCAATCGGCGCGGCGTTGATGTCGTGCTGGTCGTCGGGCTTCTTGTTGGATTTCGCTGGCGACGCTGCCGTAGGTTCTGTCGCTGGGCATCGGCGTCGGGAAGACGTGGCAAATGGCACCACGGATGCGTTCGAACACCTCCCGCGGAAACCACGCGCCGCGCAGGGCGAACATCCGCCAAGGCCGCTGCGAATTCGGCCTTGCTCAACCTCCTGGCTGCCATGCGGATCATCATGGCTGCCCTGACACCCATCCTGACCCGCCTCGGCCGAGCCTCGCCGCCGCCGGCTGACGAGCCAGCAGCGGCAGCATGCCCATTCTTCTCCAGCGGGCACCTCGACAGGGACGTCGGGCACGCCGCACGATCGAGCGATGCGGACTTCTTTGCGCATGCACCGACGAACACCGGACCCGGCAGGGGGGAACAGGAGCATCGAGAGACACACCATCGCGCAGCTGAACATAACGGTCACTCGCCTCAGCCGCGACCGCAGGCGCGAAGACGCTGACGATGGAGGAAAACATTGTGGCGCCGCGCACGCCAACCAGCCCAGCGCCCAACGGCGGTGCCGAGACTTCTGACGCCACACACGGCGCCCACCGCCGCAAGCTGCACCCTCAACTCCGCGAAGATCCCTTGCTCCGCGCACGAGCCGCTGGGTTGCCCGCACACGGCGGCGTCGCCCGCCTCCGAGTGGAGGCTGCTCCAGCCTCCGCGGCGCGCGCTGGCTGCTGGAGCAGCCGCGCCCGTTGGCTGCCGCTCGCGCGCAGTGAGCACTGGCAGCGGGGCAGCGGGGCGCAGCGGTGGCCTGCCGCAGGTGGCGCCAGCAGTCCCCTCTCCTTGCGGCAGCGACACGCCGACACGCGTCCACGCCCCGCGCATCCCAGAGGGCGCATCTCACAGCACCAGCTCTGCCCTGCGCGGCGAGCATATGTACACCACCGGCACGCCTGGCCAAGGCAACCCCGGGCCCCAGGATGGCGCATATGAGCCTCCGCGGCCTCGGCCGGGACGGCGTGCACAGCGTGCCAGGGGCCAGGGTGGCGCGCGGCACCCGCGGCTCCCGGGCGTGGGCCTTGGGGCCTTCCTGGGGCGGGCTCGGACCCGTGCGCCCCGCGGGCGCGCTGAGCCCAGACGCGGAATGCAGAGCTGGATCAGCAGCAGCGGGACTGGCCTGGGAACTTCAAGGCAACAGACCACCCAGGCCAGCATGGCAGTGCAGCGGGACGAGGTCCAAACCCAGCAGGGAGGCGGGGTATCCACGTGCTCTCCCACGCCAGCATTTGCTGCCGCACCCGCAGCGCAGGTCCAGGGCAAGCGCGGGTTCCAGCACCTTGGAGGAGAATGAGGCGCGGGCACAAGAGGGCGGGATGTCGGTTTCGTACGATTCGGTCGGTTTTCGGTTGAACAGTCGCCATGGTCGGCCTTGGGAATACATCCATTCAGGACCCATGCGTTAAAATGGTCCTTGACGAGTCACCCGCAGCAAATTCGACCATAACGTCGTTGAGGCGATAAGAAAATCAAACATCTTTTGGTGAGTGTCTGTCATGTCCGATGTTTCTGCTGCTTCAGGCCCACCTCCTCCACTTCGGGACTAGAGGCAGCATGAAATCAGCATGACAAGGAGTGAACAGCGCGCGTTTGGCTAGTTGCAGTCGCGTGCCTTGCGCCCCCTTCCTCCCATCTTCCCCCTCTTCCGTCCTCTCTTTTTTCTCTCTCTCTCTCTCTCTCTCTCTCTCTCTCTCTCTCTCCTCTCTCTCTCCCTCTCTCTCGCTCGCTCGCTCTCTCTCTCTCTCTCTCTCTCTCGCTGTCTCTCTCAGGCCCGGCTGCATCGGGCGCGTCGCTTCTTTGCCTCACCAAGGCGCTGCCCCCCCTGCGTGAGCCGCGCCCACGGCTGTTGCGGCGCCGACGCCTGTCGCACTCTCCGCTGATGAGGCCGCCGTGTAACAGCCGCAACTTCACAGCGGGTGCGCCGCTCACTGGCGCACCCTCACGCTCACTGGTACCAACACGTACGCCACGCGTGTTTCACCGTCCACAGCTAAAAACTTTATTCTACGCCCGCATAGGGCCCTTCGCCACGGCCGTGGGCCCCATTTCTTGCCAGCCCGACTGCCCGCGCGGCCACGCGTCATCGGGCCCCGTGGCTGCAGCGACGGAGGACGCCCCGTCGTTCGCAAGCCGCTCAGCGGTCAAGCCCGTGTCCCCCAGCCGCCAACCAGGGCTTCGCCGACCTGGGCCCTTTCCCTCGCGGGGCGCCGGGAGACTTGGCGCATCGTTTGCTCAGCACCCCGTCACTTGCCTCAGTCGCTTTGCGCCGGAGTGCGGTTGTTTCAACACTCCCCGTGCTTTAAGGTGCGCACCACCGCCAAGAGTGCGATGGCGGCCTCGGCTACCGCAGTAACCAGCTGCCGACGGGACCCCATGTTGTCCGATATCTATATATATAGTATCTCTCTCACTCTTTATAAATATAATATAAATATGAATATAAATATATATGCCTCTTCCGCTCTCGCTCTCTCTCTCTCTCTCTCTCTCGCTCGCTCTTTTTTTATATATATATATATATTATATATTATATA